AAAAAAAAGGAATTCCAGAAAGGGAAAATAGAGGGAAAAGAGAGGAGGAAGTTATCTAAGGAATAATACCAAGATTTTTCTCAGATCTGAAGGACTTCATTTCTAGATTTGGGAGGAAAGAGTAAGTGCCCAGCAGAGAGAGGGAAATAAAACCAATACCAAGTCATAACCCTGAAATTTTACACACCAGGGATAAAGGAAACATTCTACAAATGTCTGAGGTGGCCATTGGGGAGGGTGACAAAGGAGTAGGGTAACAAGTCACAAACAACAGATAAAGACTTGAATAAGATTTGAGGGGCAACGATTTCCAATCTAATCTACCCTAAGTATCCATCAAGTATGAAAATGGAAAATTGACATTCCATACATAGAAGGTCTATTTTTTTTAACATTTATTTATTTTTGAGAGAGAGAGACAGAGTGTGAGCGGGGAAGTGGCAGAGAAAGAGGGAGACACACAATCTGAAGCAGGCTCCAGGCTCCAAGCTGTCAACACAGAACCCGACGTAGGCTCAAACTCACAAACCATCAGATCATGACCTGAGCCCAAGTCAGACACTTAACTGATTGAGCCACCCAGGTGCCCCCATACATAGCAGGTCTTAATAATATCCCCCTAACAGAAATAGGAACCCCTAGACTCCAGGAAAGACAAAGGATCCTGTGAAGGAAGCCCTGGTGAGATAGAGAGTTGCTCCAGAAGCAGAGACACAAGCAGATGAAGAAGGCAATCAAGTCCAGATCAAAATAGGAGGATGGAGGTCTCCAAGGAAGAAACAAAATGCAACTTCTCTTTGCCTGATACTACTGTCAACCCAAATAACCATACTAAATTTTGTTCCACTTAGAAAAGTAACCTTTGAACTCTGCAAATTTCTAGACACCTGTGCAAAAAACCAAGGTAAGCAAGAGCAGAGAGAATTCAGGAAGGGTAAAAGCGGAAAGAGGCAAAGGTTATGCCTCTTAGAACAAACCAGAGCAGTCAGGATTTTGGCTGAGAACATACTCAAAGGCTAGATACAATCTAGTACATAATGGCTGTTGTTTTTTAGTCTGTGAGTTCACTCCAACATGTCTCAGAAACGTCTCTTGCTTTCCTGCTCCTCTCAGCCTTCTCTATAAACCCAGCCCCTGACTCTAGCATGCCCCTTCCCCACCATTTAGGCAAAAGGACGTTCTTTGCTTTGATTTTGCCAGCTGACTGCATTCCCTGTGTTCCTCTGCACATTAACTCTCAATCTATTCTTAAATCTCAGCTGAAAACAGATTCCATTCCTGCCAAAACCTCTTAATTTGTTTTGTTTTAAGATCTTATACGAGCCATTCTTGTACACTGGTTATGCTATTTTCAACTTGCCAGAAAAAAGCATTATGCTCTTAAATAATTTTAGAACAGCTTCAAATTGGAAAGCTTACATAGAACTTCATAATCTCTAAGTATAGTCTATGTATTAGAAATCTTTTGAAGGGCGCCTGGATGGCTCAGTCAATTAAGCGACAGACTCTTGATTTCGGCTCAGGTCATGATCTCATGGTTTGTGAGACAGAGCCCCCATCTGGCTCTGTGCTGACAGCATGGCATTTGCTTAGGAGTCTCTTTCCCCACCCCCCTCTCCCTGCCCCTCCCCCATCTACCCTCTCTCTCAAAATAAATTTTAAAAAATCTTTTGAAAGCAATGTTCTGTATTAGGTAACTCCAAGGGTCATAGCAATTCATAATTCTTCATAACACACTTTGCGGGAATAGTCTAGGGTCTCTAGTACTATCCACATGAGATCACCAATATATGCTAAATAAATGAAGTTCGAGGCAAAAACTTAAAGATTGGGAGGAAAAGATGACACAGAGAGAACTCAATGCTGCCAAAAAAAACCCAGCATTGGTCCTATCTTCTGTTTTACCCACTCAAACTCAACATATTTTGGAAAAAAACATTTTGGCAAATGTTATATTACACTATATATTACATACATATTTTTAAATTATATAATATGTATTACATATACATATTATATTATAATTATAACATGTTAGATACCATCTACCTAAACAAAATATACTCCAAGTATTTTCACTTTTCACTTTTTCAATTTTCTCCTAATATACTTTCAGTCATCCAAAAATTACTGAAATTATTTCAAGGGATTTAAAAATCTATATATTTTTTTAAGGTTTTTTTAAATTTGTATTCATTTTGACAGAGAGACAGAGAGCATGTGCACAGGGGAGGGGCAGAGAGAGAGGGAGAGGGAGAATCCCAAGCAGGCTCCTTACTGCTATCACAGAGCCCAACGTGGGGCTTGAACCCACGAACCGGGAGATCATGACCTCAGCCCAAAGCAAAAGTCGGATGTTCAACCAACTAAGCCACCCAGGCACCCCTAAAAATCTATAGTTCGGGGCACCTGGATGGTTCAGTCAGTAGAGCGTGTGACTCTTCATCTTGGAGTTGTAAGTTTGAGCCCCAAGTAGAGATAGGGTGTAGAGATTACTTAAAATCTTAAAAAAAAATAAAAATAAAAAGATAAAAATCTGTATTTTAAGGGGAAAATCAGAATCAAATGGTGAACAGTAAGACTATTTGGAAGACTATAAAATGGGTCCTAAAGAAGATTTAAAATTCCTTATTTATAGTAGTGAATTCACAGAAAGTAAGGTTCACAATTTTCTTCAAAATGACTTAGACAGAAACCCACATCATTTACATGCTCCTAATTTACATTTTCTCACAATTTACCCTATTTTTCAGTTCCATTAAATTTCCTTTATGATGCTTTAATTTTTTTAAGTTTATTTTGAGACCACAGCGTGAGTAGGGGAGGAGCGGGGGCGGGGGGGGGGGCGGTTGCGGAGACAGAAAGAGAAAGAATCCCAAGCAGTGTCCATGCTCTCAGCACAGACTCTGAAGTGGGGCTCCAACCCACGAACCTTCAGATCATGATCCGACCTCAGACTCTTAACCGACCTAGCCACCCAAGCACCCCTATAGTGTTTTAATTCCTATCATTTGTTCTTAGGTCTCAGAAAACTCCACCCTGCTATCATTCTTAGGTGCTGATATTCTCCATTTGCTCCCCTCCCCCAACCATCTCCTTCCTCCAGCTCTGCACCCCAGGAGGCTAACCTTGCCGGCTGGCTGCTAGCTGGCGTTAGCCCCTGTGACATACTACTTCAGGAGATGGAAGAGAGGGAGGAAACAAAAATCAGACCATTCCTTCCTGTTTCCTCCTGGCTTCATTGCTATGTCTCTGGCAGAGCTGCATCCCTTCAGGACCATCAATCAGGCCCTCATGCCACAGCTCCAGCCCACTCCAGGCTCCTCCTTACGTTCTCCATCTCGTTTGCTGTCTTAGGCCTGATTAAGTCATGACTAAGTCATCTTGATTCAGTCTTTATTTGAAACATCTGCTGTGAACGGTTTCCTGCCAGGACTCTGATAGGCGCCCTATCCTTTAAATGCATACACTTAACACTAAACAAAGGCCTGAAACTCTGAAGATGAACAAGTTTCATTAGTGACCAGTTGTAAGATTTGCTATGTTACTTGTATCTTCAGAAATTCATAAAGCAGGATGACGACACCTTCTCCACTGGGCTTTTGATAAATCTCCAATGACACTATATTATAGACTGTGCAGATGGTAAGATTAAAGATGATGTTGTGGGGGGCGCACCTGGGTGGCTCAGTCGGTTGAGCTCTGACTTCGATTCAGGTCATGATCTCACGGTTCATGAGTTTGAGCCCCACACTGCGCTCTCCACTGACAGTGCGGGGCCTGCTTCGGATCCTCTCTCTCCCTCTCTCTCTGCCCCTCCCCTTCCTCCCTCCCTCTCTCTCTCAAAAATAAAATAAGCATTAAATTTAAAAAAAAAATTAAAAATAGGGGCACCTGGGTGGCTCAGTTGGTTAAGCATCTGACTTCAGCTCAGGCCATGATCTCATGCTTTGTGGGTTCGAGCCCCACATCAGGCTCTGTGCTGCCAGCTCAGAGCCTGGAGCCTGCTTCAGAGTCTGTGTTTCCCTCTCCCTCT